CCTCGCGGTCGCTTGCCTTGCACTTCGAAGTCCATCGCTGTTCTTATCGGATGATCCTGTGGCCTCCTCACATACCATCGCAGACGCTGTTCCCGTACCTTCAGCTGGACAGGGGCAGTCTGCATGACCGCTCTGACATCCTCGTTTCTAACCCTGTCCAGCCGCGTCCAGCCGCAGGCCCACCTCAGCATCCTCATCTCAGCGGAGTGAAGCTGCCTTTCGTGATTCTTGTTCAGGGGCCAGCACTCGCTGCCGTATAGCATCGCAGGCCTTACCACTGTCCGGTACACCTTCCCTTTGAGCGCTTCTGGAGCACCTTCGATCGCAGAGGATTCCAGTGGACTCCCTCCATTTCATCCATGCAGCGTTGACCCGAGCCTTCACTGCCTGATCCACACACCGTCGGCTGCCAGATCGCTCCCAAGGTATCGGAAGTCCTCCACTCTTTCGATGGTCTCACCATGGCCGTCCACGATCGGCTCTGCACCCTCTTCGGAGCTCAGGAACTTGGTCTTCTTGACATTCAGCCGGAGCCCACTGCCAGGATCGTCTATTTCTGCCCTTGGCTTGAAGTTGCTCTCGGCTATTCGCTATCAGGAGCGATGTCGTCAGCGTAGAGGATAGTCTTCAGTGGTCCCTCCATGAGCCCCTTCACCAGGACATCTAGTGTCAGGAGAAGAGGAAGGGGCTCAGAGCTGTCCTTGGTGCACCCCACCGTGATGTCCACTTCCTTCGTTAGGCCGTGTGGGTCGGGGGTGTCGGGTTGTTGGTCCTCCTTGGTCCATGTCCTTCACAGAGTGATCAGGTGTTCTGGCACGTTCCGCTCCCTGAGCGATCTCCACAGTACTACTCGCGGTAAGCGGGTCGAACGCCTTCTCCAGGTCGAGGAAGGCTAGGTAGCAGGGTCTGCGCTTTTCGGTACTTTTCCATCCCTTGCCTAGCAATAAGATGGCATCCGTGATAGACCTTTCGGGCATGGAACCGAACTGTTCCTGGGAGATCGGGACCTGCACGCGCAGTTGCTCTTGTCGACTAGGTGCTCTTACATTTTCATGGTGGGCGCAGTCATGTTGATACCGCGGTAGTTGGAGCAGTTCATCGCGTCGCCCGTCTGTTTGAAGATGGGGACGATAGTACTTGTTGTCCAGGCATCCGACATGCTTCCTTCGGTAGTCACCGTGTTCAGGAAGCGGGTGAGCCATCTCCTGTGCTTTCCAAGCCCCTTCCAAGCCTCTATGGGTACTCCATCTGGACCAACCGCCCTTCCAAGCTTCATCTTCCCACCGAACCTATCCTCTGTCCAGAGTGCGATGGGACCAGCTGTGGCCTCTGCTCGTGAGTTGTTCTCGTGGGAGAACTCCTCGTTCAGAAGACCTCTGAAGTACTCTCTTCCCACCTCCTCCGAACTTGGGCTGGCTTCCTCAGTATGGCGCCGTTGTTGCTCTTCACGCTTTCACCACCTTGATGTCTTGAGTAGCCCTATGCCGTGCTTTAGCCAGTATGAGACGAAGTTTCTCTGCGTGTCTGTTTTTTCATTTTGTCAAGGCGTCATTTGACTGCCTCCTTTGCCATGGGTACGGGAGCCTTAGGTGGGTACTCTCTGAAAGTCCACTCTCGTTCGCTCCAGTCCTGCCTACGGCGAGGGATTGATCTCAGTGCATTGCCCTATAATCCGTTTGGTTCGTGTTTCGCTTGTAGGGGGGTTTGCACGTTCCACGTTTTCCCTGGCCTTGAGCAACGTTTTTCCATCGCGTCTCTGGCTAGGCACTGGATGTCTGCATCAGATCAGCAACCTCTCGGGACTTCCCAGTTAGCGATCTACGTTCAGAGTCCCTATTCGAACTAGCTTCTTTGGCCGAGGCCGTTCCCTCCTCGGTAGCCCTCGCATACTGACCACAGAACTCGGGCGGGGGTTCTGCGCGCCACTTCCGGGTGACGTCCTAGCATTAACACTGATTCTTTTGCGACTTTCAGACATGTTTGGTGTGACTGGGGTATTCATCAGCCGGCCTGTCAACCTGGGCCTGACGCTGGTACTAGAACCATTTTTGCAATTTTTGCAGGGGCATGGTTTGAACCTCGGCAGGATCCCAGAGGTGCAGAATGGTTGCTAATTCTTAACAATCCGCTGATCTTGACTGTCAAAGCTCAGACCATTTAGAATCCAGTTTTGTTGAAAAAAAAAAACGCTCCGAGTGGTCCTGAGAGACCCTCTCGTAGTCGAACCAATAGTCCGATCTTGATATTTAATGAGATGTTGCAAGTTTTCGGAACGGAATGGTCAGCTTAAATTTCCGTACAGGTTAGCGCAAGACTATACTGAACGCTTGCGACAAATCCCGTTAACACCTCAACTAAAACGCGTAGGTCTTTTAGTCCTACTTAAGGATAAAGGATAAAGCATTTGCCGTTGATCAATCCCTTTTTGGGATGCGGCACGCATTCTACTTCCATTTGTACATTCGTAGTGGCGTTTGAATGCGATGTGGCCTATACAATGACTTGCGGGGGCCAGCCGATGTACAAGTCAGTGTTTTTATCCTCCCAGACAAGTCTGGTACCAATTAACCGACCCCGGAGGGATGGAAGGCTTGGTTGGCCCGGGCGACTCACGACCCAGGATTTGATCCCCGGACCGCTCGCGTGGTAAGCGCGCCACTTGTCACTACACCACTTCCGCCCTTCCTACTTACTGAGAAAAAAAAACGACGTGTTTGCACATTCTGGAAAGTGATTAGGGAACTGGAGCCTAAACATTTTGAAGCTGTGATAAGCCGATTCCTCAGTTCAGCTTAGTGTTCTCCGCTCACCATTACCGTCGCACTGGAAATTCGGGAAATTGGCGGAGCAGAATTGAAATGAATCAAATATTTTTCCCAAAACGTCCAGAAGCGGAGAAAAATCAGTAGGCATAAGAACTTTTTCATGGACTTTTGCGCTGAGCTCAAATGCGGTCTGGTGAGCCCCAAAGTGCGCTTCGACTATATTATTCCCTCTGGTGTTTATCGCATTCAACTTTCTCGATTGTTCAGACTACTAATACCCTTCTGCAATGACTTCTATCCTCACACTCAGATTGTAAACAGTAGGCTATTCTGCAAGTATTCGCCATTTATTTTCTACCGTAACTTTGCTGGCAAGGAAGATGAAGCACCATTGTTCGAATTTGTTGGACTCATTGTGTGCCAAACTCTCCGCCGCTCGATCCTACTCCCATTTTCATCCTGCCATTATATAGCAACTTTCAGAAGGTGATGTAGTGACGAAGGGCGTCACCAAGCACGCACATGTTCCGATGATATCGGATTCCATCTCGCCGCAAGCCAAGCGAGCCTTCCTCCTTTTGGAGGCCTTTGCTGGTAATGGACTTGTCTGGGAAAATAATTACCAGAATTGTAAAGAAATCGTCTGGCTCTCACACATAACTTTATAGGTGAATACATTCAAACACCACCACAATTATGAGCGGACGTAGAGTAAGTGGCGCACTCCAGAAAAAGATTGAAGAGCGCTGGTTGTTCTTCTTTACACTAACACATTATCCTCCAGGTATCGTTTTTTGCTTCAAAGTAGCGAGATTACTCTCTTTGGTACAGCTGAACTGATCGTGTGTCATGTCTCCGTTCAATGACATTGCACTCTTTCAGATCACCACCAGGGCGGAGCCCCTCCCATATTATCCAGATCCACAGTTTGGCGTCAAGTATAAACGTCGTTTAACAACCTATTTCACCGAGATTTCGTTAATGATCGCCAAAGTTGAGCAGCATGTGCTTGACCCTGTCCGTACATCACTTCTGCACTTCTTCGTTCGACAGACCGACAGTCTCCCGTCCTAGTGTCTTTTCGCATAAACTTCATAGGTGTTCTTTTCATTCTTGTTGGCCTTTCCCATCGTTACGTCGAGCATTTTCAGTGCTTGGAGGAGCATCGCAGCCGTCCAACGTGATTCCAAATTTTCGTAGAGACCAATGTTTTGTCTGGCCTACCTCTTCAAGGTGATAACTATTGCTCATCAACTCCCTTTTTTGTCCTTGTTCCATTCCATCTCCTTGCTTTGAGCGTTAGTGAACATTCCGCACTTGCAAACCCAGCCATTTTTCCAGACCTCGTCAATAGTTCAGCCCACAGCACCCCTCTGTCGGGGCTGGGATGCGTAGCGTTTCTCCTCCTGGGGTCAGGTCACCTAAAATTGACGCCGTTCATTCGCTCGGAGCAAGCTTAGGACTAAGCCTAGGCCCAATCATAGGCTTAGGCATAAGCCAATGTGTAAGCATAAGCCTTAACCTAAGTCTAAACCCAAACTTAACCTTAAGCTTCAATGATCGCGCAACTGTGGTGACCCCACCCAGGAGGAGAACTGCACGTCTCCCCCGACAGGGTTGGGCGAATATTCGGGCACGGTTTCTGGCAATTAAAATTTGTTGTAGTTTTTAGAACTCGATCTAATCGCAGCGATTCCCGCCTCTTCATTCCGTTTTTGGAAAACTAGCGCATTTCGATCCCGAACCACCTTAACGGCGTATACTTCGCTGACCACTACCATCCCAAGATTCTTATCTTTTTACAGCTTCGAAACGACCTTCACTAATTTTCCCCTCAATTGCCTTTCAATATTTCTAATCAGTCGCTCAACTCACCATCCAGCAATTTTCGTGGCTTCTTCCCAATCTCAATGAGTTTAGGCATGGAACCCATGTCGCACCTGCCACCCTACTCAAACAGACAGACATGCTTGGCCATCGAGAGTTATAACCCAAAAAGTATTGAAACCAAGAGCCATCCAAACTCGAAGTCGTACAATTCAAAGACATGATTTAATATTCACTTAAATTAAACTTGACAACATATTGTTGAACAAAAGACGAGATACTGAGGGACACGAGCACTGTGCGACTTTACACCGCTTCAACAAACTCAACAGCAGAACGGAATACTTAAGAACTGCCAGTATGCACAAAACACGAAACAACAAAACACTGAACAGTATCAGATCTGATCTAAAACGAGCTCATGTTTACATCGGCTGAGAAGTCCGGCGCACCGTTATCACGCTTTGAAGCCGGACCACCAGATCTGTCACCTGGTCGCTTGCCTCGCCTAAAATTGTCAATAGTATCACTTATTCATTATAACTTCAATATTTATAAAACACAATGAACATACCCTGCGTGTCCTCCTCGGTTACCACCACGTCCACCGCGGAATCCGCCACCGCCTCGTCCTCCAAAACCTCCACCGTAACCACCATATCCGCCGGGTGGACCGTATCCGCCGTTTTGGAAGTCTCCGTATCCTCCGCCGTATCCTCCTGGACCGTAGCCGCCATAATCACCGTATCCGCCACCCATACCATATCCTCCGAAACCGTAATCATCGTAGCCCCTGAAATGCAATATTTGCTGAATCGAGGAACACTTCAATGTTTTGAAATGCTGGCGATTATTTTTGTTCCTTGTATTGAATCTGAAACAGCATCCTGAATGACAACCGATCGCCCTAACAAGTTATAACTTCAGTATCATTCTATTGTTGCTAAAACTGATAAACATATTCAACTGATAAGTGAGTGTGAAGTTCTACAAAATTTCGAGAAACCGCCTTGTATTACACATTTTTCAAACAGGATACAAAATATGACACTCACATATTAGGATACATATTGTTCGCTCGACCACGACCGCCGCCGAATCCACCGGGGCCGCCTCCGTATCCCATACCCATGCCCATGCCCATTCCCATTCCCATGCCCATACCCATTCCCATCCCTCGGCCTCGTCCCATTGGCTTCTTCTTCTTTTCCACTTGTGGTTTAGCGAGAGAACAATCTATCACCACACCCTCCAATTCCTTGCCGTTCCATTCTTCCAACGCCTGCAAAATTGATAGTGATTATTGGTTATACATAATAGTACTGTATTGGTTATATAAAACAATAAGTCAATCGACGTTACCTTTACACATGGCTCGCGTTCTTTGAAGTGTACAAAAGCGTAATCTTTGATCTTTTTTATGCGTTCAATCTCGCCATATGGGCCGAAGATCTCCTTCAATTTCTCCTCCGTTACAATTTCCTTTAGGTTGCGGACGTAAAGCACTTTGACCTGAAAAAGAAACATAAAATTAGAGCCCATAGCACTTGTGAATTCAAATCTACCCACTTTGTTCATGGTGTCCTCATCAGGTTCGTCCTGCTTGCTCGGCCCAATCAACTACAAGCTCACTGTTGAAAGGACGAATCTGAAAGGAAAAAATTATGTTTGGAATCAACTACAGCAGACCGCTCCCAATCCATCAGAGGTGCAAGGCGCTTACTTTGTGTTGCTGAATCTTCCTTTTTGCGTCAGAAGCAGTTTTATGATCCGCAAAGTCGACGAAGCAGAATCCTCTATTCTTGAATCGTTCAGTTGCATCC